CTCCTTCCATCTTCCTCGCACCCGTTGCGCGCACCAGAAGAAGACACGTAAAATTTATCAGCTGTCTTCCAGCGCGGGACGCGGAAATCGCTCCATCTCGCTCGCACTCTCTCTCGCACCCGTTGTCCTTACGGGAAAATCGACCCGCGCGGACCGCGATATCCCGCGAACCGGCGGGCGGATCGCGAAATCCTCCCTTATCCGGCGCCTCGGGGTAGAGAGGGATCCCAGTGCGGAATCTCAGGGTCACACGGCCTCCCGTTCACGAGATCCGCTGATACGTGAGTCAGTGAGTGAGTCAATCAACGTGAAGTCTGCTTTATTAGTATAGATTTGCTAAAATGTTCAACATGAAATAGGTGTAATTTTCTTCTTTCGTTTGAAATCTTTGGGCAAGCAGTGCTTGCCTTGCTTATCCGGACCGCACGCCACTGCGTAACCCCTAACCCCCATTCCCAGGTCCATTCTAGTTTATAATCTTTGCAATTGGTGAAAATGTAATCTATATTCCCGTTTGCAACACTGCGAAGGCCTAAAATATGGGAACCAATTCAGAAATGGATTCGCATTGTCTTTACTCTCCGGAGAAAGGGACTCTAATCGGTGCCGATTCGGCGCGAAACCGGGGCGTTTTAAAATTGCGGAAAAATTGCACTTTTTGAACTGCGTATTTCTCGATTTTTGAGTTACTTATTCGCGTTTTAAAAATACACATCGTGTTCTACGCATCCTTTACTTTCAGAACAATTTATTCACAACCCAGAATTTGTTCATCGCTGAGAAGAAAACTCTGGCTCCAGGAGCCGTAATTACGAGCTATGTAGCACCACCGTGCGTTGCGGGTGAGGAGACGGTAATTCCCTCATTCAGAAGCCGGAGCAACTGCCTCTAAACCCGTAGCAAAACGAGCTCCCGGCTCAGAGGCCGATGCTCTTGTTCCTGAATGCGGGACTTACGGCCTCCTCACCCGTAACGCACGGTAGTGCTATATAACCCGTAATTACGGCTCCTGGAGCCGAAGTTTTTTTGTGAGTGATGGTTTAGTGGCCCATTTTTGGGAGATGAGGTCCCTTTTCACATATCCCATCACATATTATGATGCTAAAATGTTCACCTTGTCTGAGAGTCCATCATGGTTCCTCACCTTTACGTATGTTGTCCCATATTATCTGGACGTAGTCGTCCCTCTCGACAGCGCTCTGTTGGTGGAAGAAGCCGAGGGCGTGCATGAGCTCGTGGACGATGACGCCGTGGTGGATGCAGCCGGGGGCCAAGTTGAGGACCTGCCCGCCCCCGCGTCGCCCCACGTAGGACCAGCACCCCGGCCGGTCGCCCCGGATGTCCACCCAGTCGTGGTCGCACTTTCGGTACGCCCGGAAACGCACGCACGTCTTCTCGTGGTACTCCGACACTGCCGACATGATCACCGCCTTCTCGTAGTCCGCTGGGACATAGACAAAGTCGTCAACGGATACTATCTAAAAGCTTCAAGTCCCGAATGTGCAGAAACGAAAAGCAATTAGCGCAGAAATGCACAAACTACAAGCCCAAATTTTAAACTCAAATAATCACCCAAAAGCGCAAACGATTTAACAAACATTATCCACACTACAAAAAAATGTATACACTAACGCTTCATAAAGTATGTGGTCTGAGCCTCATACAAACTATAAACAATTTCACGTCGCAGGGCCGGATTTACCTACTTGCCGCCCATGGGCCGCCTGTATTTTTCCGCCCCCTTCTCATTCATTAAGTGAACGTGCCGGTGGGAGAGGGGTGTATGAGACGCGTTTACTCGTGTTGGGCACATTTTTTGTGAAAGCCCCGTCAACACTAACAAAAGTTCACGGAACTTTACGCGAAAGTTAAGTTCTTTAAACCCATCCCTGTTTGGACAAGGCCTTCCATTTTTAACAAACGAACGAAAAATTATAAAAGAACAAACATAAATGTGGTTTAATTATTTTAACTTCCGTCGCTGCGCCGACCGCACTGTGTTTGGCGCAATGCGTGAAGTATTCATCCTGTCTTGTATGCGCGACCTTTTCTTGCGTTTCTCGCCGACCGCTGCTGACCGCAATGTTTGACGCAATGCGTGAAGTATTCATCCTGTCTTGTAGGCGCTATGCGTTTCATGCCGACCGCCGCGCCGCCACCGCGCCGAGGGCTTCTCCTTTTCATCTTAATCCTTGTCATCATTGCCTTCTGCGCCGCTCCGCTCGAGGTCAAATTGCGTGTTTGGTTTCTCTCTTAACTCAACTAATTAAAGGTGTTGCCTCTTGTATCACCGAGAGACGACAAAATTAGAAATTACTATACTTTTACTGTCAGGAAATGAGAGGTTTTATCACCTTTTCTCGTTTGTAATTTATTTTCTGGATCCGATTTTTCCTTCTTTTTTTTTGATAGCTACATTAAAAAAGATTGCAAAATTTGCCGTCATAGGCCGCGGCCCATGTGGCCACTCCCTTAATCCGGTCCTGTCACGTCGACCTATTAATAGAAATAGAGTCCATTTTAGTATGGACAAATATTACATACGAAGACTATGGGTGCTGGGTCCATACGGCATGACCCAGTCATTCCATTCCTTGTCCCATCATGGACTGGGTCATATCGTATGGACCCAGCATCCATACCGTATAAACACTAATTTAATAGACCTGCTTTTCAATCCAATTTATGTTCACGGCACATACCTGCTCTTAACGTGAAAGCTAGATAGCAATAAATACATCCTCCCAGCATGGAGGCGTTTTAAAGTCACAGAAATATCGGGTAAAATGCACGCCCGTATAGTCGATGTTGAACAAATCTCCAAAATCATTATGAAACACACTCCTAGCACTAAGTCATTATAAAGTCACAGACAAAATCCCACTAAACGCACGACAAGATATCGGTTTTTGCACCCCCAGGAATCATGAAGATTTCGTAATTTACTTCGTCTTAGCATGGAGTCGTTTTAAAGTCGCAGACAATATCGTCTTCAACGCACGACCAGATAACGGGTTTTTGCACCCCTAGGAATCTCTAAAATCACATGATTTACCTCGTCTTAGCATAGAGTAGTTTTAAAGGCACAAAAAATTTCGCGTCAAACGCACCACAAGAAGTCTGTTTTTTGCACCCCTGAGAATCTCAAAAATCAAGTCATTTCCTTCGTCTTAGCATGGAAATGTTTTAAAGTCACAAAAAATATCGCGTAAATCGCACGACCGAACGTCCGTTTTTGCACACTCGGGAAACATCAAAATCACGTGGTTTACATCGTCTTAGCATGGAATCGTTTTAAAGTCACAAGCAATATCGCCTTCAACGCACGACCAGATAGCGGTTTTTGCAGCCCTAGGAATCTCCAAAATCACGTGATTTACCTTCGTTTTAGCATGGAAGTCGTTTTAAAGTCACAAAAAATACCGCGTAAATTGCACGACCGGGTGTCCGTTTTTTCACACCTGGGAATCATCAAAATCACGAGATTTACATCGTCTTGGCATGGAGTCGTTTTAAAGTCAGAAAAAATATCGCGTAAAACGCACGACCGGATGTACGAGCTGTCCATGCCTCAGATTTCCCAAGTAGAATCGTAGAATGGACTCTCACACCATAATAACCATTCTTTTCACCGCAGAGTACTTATTATGGGAGGGTACGGACATGTCTATAATTTGGAGGTCAAGTCAAAGAACTTTTAGTGCCAAAAAGTGCTGCCAACCTTTGAATTCATATTAATCAGAAGAATTTATCATTACAATTGTTACGACTTTTCGTTTGTAAAACACGTGTTTGACTTCGTTCCTGCGTAAACTTACTTATTTTTGTGGAATGACGTTTATTTTTGAACATTCTTGACCATCTTAGTTTGATATTAGATAATGAAGATTCGTAACGGAATTTTGCAAATTATCCTCAACCTTTGGCTAATAATAATTAGGAATGACTCTGAAATTCAGAAACTATCGACGCGCTTTTCTCGTTGTGTTTCATTCCCACATGCCGCGTGCCAACCTGTCAACCTGCAGAGAATTTTTTTTGAAAATTGTCTCGGAGACATGGTGTGAAATTAGCGTTAATTTGCGTCATTATTCGTTAATGATGAACCAGAACAATTGAGGTCTGCAGGAGCACTTTTTGCAACTGCACGAAAGCAATTTAGGTAAGAGAGGGAAGGGAAAAATTTCGCTCGCGAAGGATGCGTGCAGTGCATCATTTCATGCACGTTTTCGTGTGCCTTATGCACTTGCTAATCAATTTTTTTTTTATTATTTGTGTGTCACACTTGCTTGCATAGTTTTCCTTGGTATATAAGGGCTTGCGCTGCTTATGGACTTACAACGGTTTTTTTAGAATCTCTGTATCATACGAGTCATTAGGGTGCCACGACGGTTGCTGCAAACTCTCGTAAAATGTATTTCAAGACGTTCTCCTTTTACTTGGTATGTTGGTCTTATTTTATACACTTTACCAAAATAGGATAATTTGCTCTTACAAATGCTAGTCAATCATCATCGAGGAATGAAAAAAAAGTTCACATAATAATTTTGAGATTTGCATCAGTCTATAAACCTTTCATGGAAAAAATGCGCAAAAAGAGAAAAAAATTTAACCTTTTTAGAATTTTTGACGGTTTACGAAAAAGAGTACTGCAAGAGTTTTTACTCGGTCATGCGCTATCTTTCATAATTAATTGTCTCCTCTCAATGAAAATGAAACAAATGAGGACCGATTTGATACGTAAACAGTACATTGAATTTGTGCTCGTATCAAAAATCGAATCATATTTCAAGCTTCGAGACTGACTTCCTTAAACGAGAAAACTCCCTAACCACGCATCTTGTTTGTGATGTTTTAGGACTTCCGTACCTTTTATTCTTTTTTAAAGGAGAACAAATCAATATCATTCCTTGAAGTTTTTACAAAATTTGACGTTTTTACGCAATGAGGAAAAATCACCGCAGTTTGTAATAATTTCCGTTGAGTTGTTTTCCATTTAAAAAATAAATTTTGGGCAGGAAGTCTGCAAAGTTGCGAACTGAAATACGTGATTTTGGAGTTTCACCATCGATTTGTGGAAAATAATTAAGAAGAGGGCGCATTTTTTATTTTAAATAACTGAGATGTTAATATTTTCAAATAAAACGAGTCTGTAGTTTTTCCCAAAGTTTTATCATATCACTGAGAGGAAAATATTCCTCATAAAAGCACGGACAAAGATCATATCAATACAGCGTACTTTATTTTCCTCGGTGTCTAAGTTAAATTTTCATCTTTGCGAGGCACCGTGACGTTTTTCATTTTTAGACATGCTTCTTGAAATAATAAAAAAAAAAAAAAAAAAAAAAAAAACCTTTAATTTACATTCTCATTAATGATACCTTACTTTATTTTAGCACATGTAACATATTTCCGTAGAAGGAGAGAGGAGATGCATTTGATTGTCGATATTGACAAAAAAATATGATAATAAAAATTATATGAAGAAGAAGAACTAATTGTAAGACAGCAATTGTTGAGGGGTTTTAAACCAGTTTATTTGACGCCACTGTCAAAATATAGGTTGATACGTATTGAGCATGAAAATTATATCGTCACTGCTATTATGGGTCATCCTTCGTTTTGTTTTGAGATTTAAATAATTTTCCAGTTTCAAAGTTGTTTTAACTATTGTGTTCTCAGATATGATTATTTTCAGTATTATCATGGTTCATCCATGTACCTTGTACCTGCCAAGAACGCCAAGAAAAAGTAACCACGAAAGCACCTCTTGCTTCATTCTTATACGTTATTTTGCCAAAAACTAGCAACAACACAATGCGGCGCGGCATGCACTCCAGGGCAAGGAACGCAAAACGCCTTCATTTACTCACACCGCAACCCGCACAGTTTCGGGACACGAATAGTTGTATCCAGGAGTTATTAACACCGAGCGTCGCATCGCGTCGCTCGTACATTGGCTACACGATGGACATCTTTGTCAGTTGCTTTACTTAAATAAAACGCCGCCATCTCTTTCATTCCTTTTTAAGCACAAGGTCACCGTTAACTTTTATTTGAGTGACTGTGTTCATGATTGTCAGCAAGGTTATTAGAAATTGCTGGAATTTTCAGGAGATTAAAAGCAACGCAATATTTTTCCTCCTTGAAAATAAGAAGAAAAGACAGATATGCTAGCACATTTTAGTTTACTCACATCATTTCCGTTCGGAAGTACTTTGAAAAGTGGTTAAATTGGATACCAAAGGGAGATATAAAACTGCGGAAATTTAGAAAGTTGCTCAATTTAGAAATCTATTGAGAGCTACAAGCAGCTCACTATCTGACTTCATCAATCAAGTAGCGTATGGAGCCACGGATTAAAATCACCTGCAGGGAAAAATGTTTAAAAAATTTCTCGCGGTGAACAATATATGCTTCTTTTCACCAAAGAGGAATGTCATTGCAGGAATGCTATATTAGAAAATGGTTCCATTGGTCTTTCGACAGTGATAAAAATCATGAAAAAAGCTCCTAAAAATGACGATAAAGTTAGTTTTCATGGAGATAATTTTATTCTGTCAAGAGGCATACATGTCATTCGGAAAATAATGCCAGCAATATCAAAATATTATTTCATTTTTTCTTCCTTTTTTTCCAGATGTCCATCGTTTTGGGGGGTTTTGCTGCTCCATTACTTGATGGGCTTTTAGGTTCAAACGGTTTGACTAGTGATCCATCTAATTTAGCCCACGTAAGTATTGGTATTGCAATTTTATTATTTGAATGCGGTAACAAAAGAGGACTTTTAATACATTTTAATTAATTTATTTTTTTTTAAAAATTTAATTGGCCTTAATTTTTACACTAACAGATACGTGAGAGGGCCTTATGGCTGATTTTTTAACGTAACTCAAACTTTAATTTATATGGAGAATAAATGCACACCAAGCTGTCACTTACTCTATGATGTTAATAGTTGGGACATAATGGACCACTAGACAAGGTACGAATTTAAGCAATCTGATGCATGTTTCTTAACCAGAATTTCACGTAGAACACGATTAGCGCAACGAATATTACTGAAACTAACTCCTAACGAAAATATCAACGTTTTTATTTCACATTGGTTACGATAGTTTTGAACTGCTCGCTCACGAGAAACTCAAAACTCTACGTGTGTCAAATCGCGCACTACAACGGTTTCAGCAAGCTTCTCAGTCGAGCAATGTTCATTTCCCACCATGTGATGTTCAAACTATAAGCAATTTGCTATAGCTGAGCCAAAGCGTCAAAATTGAGGTTGCCAGATTTTTAAATCGCAGATACTATCATGATAACGTTTAGCGCGCGATGTGAATCACGTAGAGCATTGAGTTTTCATGAGCGGGTGGTTTGAATTTACGCATCAAGAATCAATAAATATCTTCTTAAGGAGTTAATGTCGGTAATTTTCGTTGTGCGCATCGTATTTTACGTGAAATTTTGGTTAAGAAACATGTATCCGAATGCTGAAATTCGTACCTAGTCTAGTGGTCCATTCGCAAATATAAGAGATTAAACATTTCTCTCTTCTCAAAGATACGTGTCACGATTGCATACAAAATTGATCGCATAATACTGATACCTCTTTATAAATAATATAGTTTTACCTAAAAAAAAAATTAGTTTTAGCATGAGAAATCTTACTGCATTTAATGCGTCAATTATTCATTTACTTTCAGCAAGTTACGGGGAACTCTCCAGTTGATGTCTCGGCTGCCCTAAATAATGCTCAAGGACTGACCACCAGAGCTCTTCCCGGCCTTGACATCTTGAATGGTGTTACATCTAATGTACCCCAAGTTAGTTATTACAGACTTATATGAGGGGAATAAGTTACAAAGAAAGGAAATTCATACGAATTTTAATTTTTTTTTTTTTAACTTAATCGGATGAACCCTCAGACAAGGTGCAAATATAAGCAATATGTAATGTACATATGTTGTCTCATCAAAAATATGTGCAACGTAAGTTATCGAATCCAAGATATGAAAGTCTATTGATGTATAAATTTAAATTTCCCACTCATGGAAAAAATCATAGTCTGCTCGTATTAAATCAATCACAAATCGTTACCATAAGAGTCAGTGCTGTGAAAATATCACCGCGTAAATCACGCGCTTTGGCTCTACCGTATAGCACTAATAACACTGGGAGTAGACGGAATGCTGCTTAAGATGACTGCCAAAATCGTGTTGTACTTTGCGATTTGATTCACGTGGACTCTAGTTTTCCTTGTAAGGAAGAGATTCAAATTGTTTGCAACCAGTGCTAAAAAAAAATTCAATATCTTGGTAAGGAGTTTTTTTCCCCAGCAATTTTCGTTGCCCAAATCAAATTTTTTCATTAAAATTTGAAAAAGAAACAAAACTCGGAATGCTGATATTCATAGTTGGTCCATGGGGATCTTTTCAATTTCCATGTTGATAGACACTTAAAAATGCTTTAAAAAATTTATATATTATTATTAATACTATTATTTTCAACTAATACACGGGATGTATAAAATTTTAAAATAAGTCTTTGATTTAAATCTATGATTTGAATATAATTCTGTCTCTTTTCAGGGAGTTACGGGTAACGTTCCAGTTGACGTCTCAGATGCCTTAAATATCGTTCAGGGACTGGCCACTAGAGCTCTTGGCCTTGACATCTTGAAAAGTGACCCGACGAATGTAGCCCAAGTAAGTGATTTAAATTTGAAAAAGTTACGAAGAAAGAAAAGTTTAAATACATATGATGTTTTCTCATTTTTTTTAAATTTAACATAATGAGACATTGTTCCTATTTAAGCAGCAGCGATTGAATGATTCAGAAAATTGACGTACGATTACTTCATCAAACCTGCAGCTTGAAGTTATTTTTGACTTTGCTTAGCTTTTTCCTTACACACAGGCAAAATTTAAAGTTGACCATTGACTGTAACCCATAATTTTCATAATTGTTCTATATCAAGTAATTTGTGAGTCTCACTCTAGTTGGCGTCTCTGATGCCCTAAATAAGCGATCAGGGACTGGACGGTAGAGCTTCTCCCGGCCTTGATATTTTGAATGGTGATCCATGTTATGTATCCCAATCGAGTGCGATTCCAGGGTATGATTGGAGAAAGTCTCAGAAAAAGAGAAACTTAAATAGATCTGGAATTTTAATTAATTGAATTTGACTTGATTTTCATATTTAAAAAAGGATTAAAAGGCTTCAGAGAATAATTTATTTATGAGTGTAATCTCTACATTTACTTTTTATGTAGGGAAACTGTACAAATAAGCCGCTGGCTAATTTATCATTTTCATAATCGTTCTGTCTTTTTCAGGAGGTTGTTGGCAACTCTCCAGTTGACGTCTCTGGTGCCCTAAATATTGCTCAGGGACTGGCAACAAGAGCTCTTCCCGGCCTTGACATTTTGAATGGTGCTTCATCTAATCTACCCCAGGTAAGTTGTTTTAGATTTTTAGTGAAAACATAAACTACTACAGTAAAAGCTCGTTAAGACGAAAAATAAAGGAACCGAAAAAAATTTCGTCATAAGCGGCTTTTTGTCTTAACCATTCTCCGCTTAAGACGAAATTTTTCGGCATAAGCGGCAACTGCGCTTGAAAGTTGCGCTGGTATCTGCGCTGCTCTCAGTCACCCCGAAATCATTTTTCCAATCCAAAATTTGGAAGCAGTTTTAATATCCAGACAGCTTTCAAAATCCACACAAACTAAAATTAAAGATTATTTTAAATGAATGACTTTTTGAAAGATTATTATCCATCAGTTTTAAATTTTTAAATTTTATACAATACGAAATCCAAATTTTGAATTTTTTTTAAAATACGCAAATTGGTTTATCGCCAACTGTCGATTGCATCTCAGTCATCCAGCAAAACAGAGGATACCCACGATCCACTCTCAACCTACTCTTTTTATGTCAAGGTACGTAAAACTAAGTCTATTTTCCCTAGGAATTGGCTTTTTTTGTCATATTTACCCAATTTCAGGGGAAAAAATCGGAAATTTTTCTTCGTCTTAACCGGCTTTGGTTACGGGTCAAAATTTCGAAATCTCGTCTTATCCGTATTTTTTTTTTACATTGACTCTTATGGAAGTGTCAAGGGACCGAAAAAAAATTATGTAGGAAAACTGTACAAATAAGCCGCTGGCTTATTTATAATTGTCATAATCGTTCTGTCTTTTTCAGGAGGTTGTGGGTAACTCTCCAGTTGACGTCTCTGGTGCTCTAAATATTGCTCAGGGACTGGCAACAAGAGCTCTTCCCGGCCTTGACATTTTGAATGGTGCTTCATCTAATCTACCCCAGGTGAGTTGTTTTAGATTTTTACTGAAAACATAAACTACTATATTGCAAAATTGCAGTGCACTATAAACAAATTCAGGGGGGGCGCACGCCCCTACGCCCCCCCTCCCCTTGCGTCTGAAAGAAAAGAGGCAGAATAGGGGGAGAGAGGAAAAAAAGAAAATGATGGAACGGAGAAGACGCTTATTTTTGGCAATCGTTCATGACGAAATTTATTCCAACTGCATATAAAATTCTTTAAAATTTCGAAAAATTTTCTGGGGGGAGCGCCCGGAGCCCACCCTCCCCTCGTTCGAAGTGTCGAGAGCCGCTTATGAATTGGACTACTTGACAACATTCGAATTCAACTATTATGATGAACATGTTACCTCATTGAAATATCAGATAGAACAATATTTTTGTTCAACGAAAATTCTCGGAAGTAACTTAGCTCCTAACCAAGATATCAAGCTTTTTCAATGCGTACATTCAAACTCCCCACTTTCAAAGAAAATATAATCTACTCGCACGGAGTGCGAGCGGTTTGGGGTTATGGCAAACCCAATCCCAGGGCTTTGGCTTAGCTGTTGAGCGTTCTTAACACTTTGAACAATAAAGGTCGGGGAAAGAACACTGCTCGATTAAGAACTAAGCCGAAACCGTTGTAATAGCCTTTCAGTGAAGTATGATTTCAAAGTTTAATGCGAGGATTTTCCTTGAAATAACGTTCTTAAGAGAGGATTCTATAGCTAAGTGCGTATTCATACGTAAGAAGGCTCGTAGTTCAGCTTCCGAATTTCACTCATTCCTCAAACATGCTTATCCTTCAATTTGAGAATTTTATGTGAAGAAGCTTGACCTTTCTGATAAGAGCGATAATATTTTTTGATGATTAAATTATATTTCTGATTCACATACTTTAAAAACGAAACCAAAACTTTAGAGGCTGTTTTTCATGAGGCAGTTTTCCGACTGAGCGCCCTCTTCCATCTACTTTCTCAAACTTTTTCTATATATTTTTATCTTACAAATATTGGAAACAAAAATTTGGTTATATCAATAGCAGTCAATAATTTTGATCATTATTATGCCCTTTTGTAGGAAGTAATGAATAATGCTCCAGCAGACCCATCAAACGTTCTAAACATGGTACAGGGACTGGCCACAAGAGCTCTTCCTGGCCTTAACATATTGAATGGTGACTTAACCAATTTACCGCAGGTAAGTCCTGAGGATACATTATAGAAAACAAGTCAAATATTTCAAGGGCATGGTAGATAAAGGGACTGAGAAAGAAGAAAAAACTGCTGAGGTAAAAAGTGAAAATTTTTCCTCCTCTATCAATATCATCATACTTATTTGTAATGTTTGAAACAATAGATTTTCAGCTGTAAATGATTATTTAAATGAGACGCATACTTGAAAAATGAGCACTCACTTTACTACCTTCAGTCGTGGACCATTCAGACTGAACTCATGAAAAATTGCACAAATCAAGTACGGAACCTGCAATTAAGTAATGTAAGACAAATATAATTTCAACAATTTTGAACCATGATTTATCTAATTCTGATCAAGTTTTTGACTTGCAATTTGAACCAGAAGAATGGTGGTAGACTCTAACCTGTTTTATGTATATGAATTTAGCTCTACTACAGTGAGGCTTTCGAAAACTATGTGAAGTCTTATGAAATACCAAAGAAAGACACATGAATTTTTGAATCTTTGATCTCTCATAGGAAGCTTTGGCCAACGTTCCCACTGATATTCTCCCTAATGGAACCGTCGATGTCCAAGGACTGCTCACCAGGGGTCTGAACAACGGAAACCAAGCTAGGAAACCAAACAAACAAGGAGGTCAACCTCAGTCCTTTGGACCCCTAGGGGGAAACCTACAGAGCTTCAATGGGCTGTTGAGAAACGGTCAGGGCTCTGGCACGAGAGTATAAGCCATAGTAATACAAGTGCACTACAATAACTTCATCGTGATAACTTAAAGTCTAAATGTTATTGAGATGCAAATGAAAAAAAAGTTTGGGGCAGAAGTTCACTTATTTTGTCATTTTTAGTGGGACTTGAGGTAAGATTCAACGCTATGATCTACTTTTATTAGAAATTTGGCAAAAATAAATAAATGAATAAAATTATACTTTGAGGAAAAGAATATGTCCTAAGATTTTATTTTGAACATACGATACTCCCTCAAATTGAACACGCTTAGGTTACAGTTAGTTCGTTGCTTGATTTACTATAGCGTTAAGTAAACCAGGCTGTTTGTGTAGAATTACACCAAACCACACAAAGTAAATTAAATGAAGAAAACTGAAGGACCCATAATGTTATCCTGTCCATGCTGATTTCACTTTTATACTAAACACTCAGTGAACCGGGAGTAAGAAAGATTGAATAACTTATGTAAATTACAAAAGGTTGAATTCTACTGCAAGATGGGGGGGGGGGCTCCTGTGAAGAAGTTTAAAGTTTTCCACGCCTCCTTTTTTGCGGGAAAGAATGGCATACTCTTGTTGACAGTTGAAGGTGTAAATGTTTCACAGAGGTCAATGAGGAACAACACGTGGATGAACTTGAATGTTTTCCTCGGATGAATGCTAAAATGGACCAACTAAAGAACATTGTCATTTTTGGCGCTCTCACCAATAGATATATCTTCATCATATTTTAAGAAATTTGGAATCACATATAAGAAACTTCAACAATGAATAAAATTCGTAGCGAATTGAAAAAAAAAAAAAAAAAAAAAAACGTTTAAACCGCACATTTCCTTGATATCCATAAGATAATACGTATTTATGATATTTACACTACGTTGAATTCCACTCAAACTACGGCCACATGCAATACAGTTCCGGTGAAATGTACAAATCGGCATGTCTATTTCAATAAAACTCTCGTTAATGTAAAAAATTATTGCAGGGAAAATTACGATACTAAATATTGCTGTCTTCAAAACCGATTAAACGCGCCGTTCTTAATGTTGATTTTATTTTTCGATGCAGGTATAGAAACGTGCAAAGATTCCACGGTTCGATATAACTGGAATAATTTAATCAGATTAGCCTAACTGACCCACTGCTTTTCCTCCGTTTACATGTATGTAAAACAAATCGATTCTTGTGCCTCACCTGAAATCGATTATAGTTAATGAATTTGAATGGAGGAAAAATAGTGTTGCCAGCTTACAAAGTCGCCACTGACTGTATTTAACGTTGCCTGAAGTTTTTTCATGTATTATTTTTCAACAGAGAACCAAACTACTGGACTTTTTCGAACTCTTTGTGAATTTATCCTCGATTGTGAAGAACATCCTCACATTTCAAGTGTTAGTATGTTTATTTGGTTCTCTGTTCGAAAAATAAAACATTAGAGAAAATTAGGCAACGTCTGGTGTACCTAGTTATAGGCCGATTAATTCCGTATTCATTTTAACATTTTTTTGAAGCAAAGTATTATAGATTAAGGCTGTCATTTTGATGGAACCAGGCTCTACAAAGTAAAGTGGGTTGCCCTCTGCTACGGGTAAATCAAGCAAGCTATTTTATTTTAAAAGCGGAATCAAAATGATGTTGAAACTTACAAAAATCCGAGGATATATGGTAAGGAACTACCCCGAAAGGCCATCGAGCATCTGGGTTGAGAAGTCCATTCCTGGCGAACGTATCCAACATGATGTCACCTTCGAAGAGGCCGCTCAGCTCCCACACATTCTGTACCATGGTTGGCTTCCATAAATGTACCTTCGACTCTGTTCGAAATTTGAAAATTTCGGAATAAAGACTTTAACTTTTAGCTGTGTCAAAAATGGACCACCATATTAATCGATATGAATGGTAGTGAGTCCACGTAGTTTTTGACAAGAGAGAAGGCATAAAACTGATTTACGCATCGAACAGGATACTTCAACCTTTTCTGGAGCACTCAAAAGATGGGCCAGCGTCTGTTTGTAAGTTCTAAAATGATATTTTCCGCGAGAAAATGTTCAGCGTCCTTTTAGAAAATTTTTGACCTACGTCCTTTTCAAAGAAATAGAGGGCACAGAGGAGACATTCGTCCAGGGGGAAAAGAACGTTGAAACTAATAAATTGTAAGTTTTGCGAGTTTTATCCTATCCTTCCTATTCGATATATAAGCAGGGCACGGAGGTTCAACCTCTATAGTGAAGACAAACATTTGGAGGTATTGTACTTTTTTCCTAGAATAAAATCAGAAAATGTATACATATCCTCGTAACAAGTCAAAACTACAAAAAAATGATAAATAAAAACTCGACTTGTGTCCATTCACCGAGACCGAGTCATGCGTAAATATGGGTGATCAGGAAAAGGACTTTAAAGTGTCCTGCTGATCTAATTTTCTCTTGTTTCTCTCTATATAACTCAGAAGTTGCAAGTTGCGAGTGACTACAGTACTGAACATTCGCCAATGCGATTTAGGTTCGACCCTGGCGGTTTTGCCTGAATTTTACCCAGGTTGCAAATTTTCAAGACAAAGATTTGGTAAATGGAACCTAAGGATTTGGTCTATGTCACCCAAAGAAAAACTAACCAAGCAACATTAACCGGACTTTTAGGTTACTGTGTTCTACTTCCCATATTAACACGAAATTTCGGTTACTTTTTCTCACCATGTATACCCTTACATGAAAAAAATGAGACGATATTAAGGGCGGCCAAGGGTGCAGACGATGTAGGGTTGAAGATGCTGCTGTGCATTACCACAAAGCAGTGGCGATTTTGCAGGTTGGCAACATTGTTTTTCTTTTGTTTAAATCCATTAAAAATATCGATTTTAGGTGAAGCAAGCTGCCGCACCAAGAATCGAGCATTTTACATAGAGTACCTGTATAGCGAGAGTATAGACAGATGTGAAACTCCGAAAATCCATCAAGCCTTCACCGATGCCTCCGCGAATAAAGTTAGGGCCCAGAAATGCAGCCAACCTATGAATTTCAATTATCCAGAGCGATTTATTAATACAATTGTTACGAACCATCGTTTATAAAGCACGTATTTGACTTAGTTTTTGCATAAATTTACTCATTTTTTTGGAAGAAAGCTCATTTATGTCCTTTCTTAGCCATCTTCGTTAGAATTGGAATCTACAGACTGGCAGTGAAATTTTGTGCGTTAGAAGTTGGTTAGAAGTTGGTTAGAAGGGTGGCTGCACTTTTGGGCCCTAAGCCCTCCATGAAGTGATCTGTCCATACTCTCGCTATACAGGTACTCTAATTTTACATACATTAAAATGTAGGAAATACAGTGTTGCCAACGTTCGAGAATCTCCACTGCCGAGGCGATCAGTAAGTGCAACAATGACGCTCCCAGAAAATGGACTTAGTTCCGAACTTTATCGAACGAAATTTCCGCTCTCCGTAAAATTTTCAAAAACCATTCAAAAAACCCTCGGAAATTCTCGGAAAGTTGAAGTTGCACTCTGAACCCCCTTCCCTATAATGTTTTAGGGAGTAATGGAGGAAGCCTGAAGAACAACGAGGAAAACTATTTTATTGGAAAATGTTATTTTTTTCAAATTGAGAAGGTTACGTAAGATTACGCTCAACTTTGCTCTTTCTCCCTTTTTCTGCTTTTTTTTGTTTTTTTTACATAAAATATACATTTTTCTGTTTTTGTAGAACAAGTCGCTTCGTTTGAATTAGACCAGTCGGATTGCGAAAGAAAGGGTACTCTGAGTGCCGTGTCAAGGAAGAACGCCGTATGAACCTTCAGGCATTGTCATATTTCCTTCAACAGAAAACGAATTCAATGGGAAAATTGTAAACATTTTTCTTCAAATTTTTCAGACAATTGAGTTCGTACATTGATCCAAATATCTGAAAATTTCAAAGAAAAATAAATATGCATAACTTTCCTCAAAAATACACATTACATCCCGGGAAATTTGGCAACTCTCGAATGTTCACACGGTGGTTTTCCTCGGCACGGCAGTACTGCTCCCTTCGATGTCACGGGAGGGTTGAAGTTGGACTTACGCTTCTCGGCCTGGAGGAGGGCATGGGAGTCGCCGACGAACTTGGGGGCGGGCGGGGTGTGGTCGTCGAACCCCTCGGCATCGTCGTAGTCGGCCTCTTCGGACGCGAAGCTCGTCGTCACCGCCGCCGTCACACACACCGGGCCCGCGACACGGCCCACGACACACACTATCACGAGCAGATCGCGCGCCACCGACGACAACAGCATTGCAGGACACCGCGCCGCCAAGCCGGTGCACTGCTCGCATGCGCCGCCCGCGCCCTATCGGACCCCCCCCCCCCCCCCCCCCCCCCCCCCCCCCCCCCCCCNCGCCATCGTTTTAAGCCCCCCTCCCCTCGGTGGGCCTATCAGGTCCCAGCGTTGCCGCCGGGGACTAAGAATTTCGGTGTTCCTCCTCCGCCATACACTGAAAAAAAAATCTCGGTGTATTTACTAAGAAAAGGGTTAAATTACCAAGAATTCAGGGTTCTATTTGATCCCAGTTTTTTCTTGGTAAAATTACCATTTATATATGGAATTGGCAATTTTACCGAAAAATCTCTGTAAAATTATTGAACTTTCTCGGTAATTTTACTGGACCTTGGTAAAAACGCCGATATATTTCATCGACTGTGGTAGAATTACCAAGATGAAATGGAAAAGTTACCGGGAATTGATTACCAATGAAAGTGGTATTCTTACCTGAAAAAAACAGTAATAATGCCGGTTTTTAGGTACGCTTACCAGTATGTCTTGGTAAAATTACCAATAATTGGTAAAAAAGTGAGATGGTAAAGGTACCAACGGACCTTGGTAAAAACGCCGAGAATGTTTTTTCAGTGTACTATGGGGCCGTCTGTAAAATATCGATGGTCAAAGTGCAGAATCGCGTAACTCCATTGCAATGTTTTGAAATTTCCAGTTTTTCCAATGGCGTAGGCAAGGGGGGAGGTCCAGGGGGTCTGGGCTCCCCCCTCCCCCCTTAGCCTCGTTAATTGTACATTTTTTTACTTTTGGAGGGTACTCATAAAATGTTATCAGGGACGCACACAAAATAATGTGAATTTACCGTCACGTTGTCGAATGGACCCCCCTCCCTCCCCCCCTAAAGAATTTCTAGCTACGCCACTGTTTTTTTTTCGAAAACAAACAAGCCAACATCATAATTTGAAATGTAGGCGGAATAATCTTTTTACAAGAGGGGAAAATCGAGAAAGTTTTCAAGAAAATACGTTGACCGGTTCTCTAAACAAAAAATGAAGTATGAAAGGAAGTCTGCTTCGTCGCAAACGGAGATACATGGTTTTCCACTTTTACCATCGATATGTAACGCACTAGGGAGTGGTAGGGTGGCTGAGGAGGGTGTCAGAACGAGTGTGGCGAAGGGGACGGTGGTAAGGTGGGCTGCCTCCATATTTTCCGGGAGGCTAGCACTAGAATTGGGAGTACCTACTGATAAGGGAGGAGGAGGTTCAAAAGAAGTCAGGAGAGAGAGCCTCAGATAATTATGCGAGATTTCTTAAAAAGAGCCTAAAGAGGCTCCCAAATTGGACCTAAAGGGGCTTCTGTGGAAAATTTTTGGCCGTGGTTTAGGGAGCGATAGCAGTGGCGTGGCGTGGTTTGCGATGTATCGATTGTTATACCATTTAAACCTATGGAAAAGGATCGATACACAGGGTGTTTGCAGCAAACACCTTAATAATCGATTCTTTACCATAGGTTTAGATGACATAACAATCGATATATCGCAAAGCACGCCACGCCACTGAGCGATAGCCCCCTCTACCCCGAGCTATTTCGCCCTGCTTGAGGCTAAATCTGAGCCTACCTTGCAGATTCATCACAGGGTAGGCGAAAGCGTCTGGTAGGTACTGCGTTACGGAACGTTAAAAACATAACGTAACGCCGATTTTTCGAAAATTTATGATGAAAAATAGAACCGATACGAAGTGGCATTTGTCATCCAAAAATCAGCTCAGAACTTCAATCCAAAGGAGTTGTAGTTAATATATTTACGGACAGAGCGTAACGTTTTACGGGTGCGTTATGGAGCAGGGAATTCCCTGCTCATGCGGCAACACTGGTTCCCTCTGAGCCCCCGACACTTATTACTGACCCACTTGCTAATCATGAGTCGAGTTCATTTATTCGCGAAGTTTTTCTCTGATTTCTCAAGCGGCTCGGGTGTGTTTGACTCTTCAAGGTTCGATGGCTAAACTGAAAAATTTAATGATGGAAAAGGAAAATCCTTGGTTCATGATCTTTAATAGTCGGGTACTTTACTCAAAATGCAGCCGGTGTTGAGCAGAAAATTTTAGGTAGTGGGCATTGAAAGAAAAGGTCCTGAATAAAGGTTTTAACATACTGCCATGCAATTGAAAAAAATTCAAATTGATGTGAATATTATATCTATTAAATTGGGCGGGAACTGCATTATGATGGACTCGGATCAGAGTTTATTGTGTGTTTACTCAGTTAAATCAGATCAAATATCCATACTTAATTCGTCCAGTCTATCTTACTGACATAGGAATATAAAGTGTTTTTAAAGTGCCCATCTTTTCTCTTATCTTTACAGGAAAAATATGAAATAAAAATTCAGGGAATCACAAATTTAGCAATTAAATCAAATCCTTCCCTCAAGAACCCTTAAATTTTTATTTTTCAATTTCCCTTAATTATTTACTCTGGTAAAACGTAATTACTACAAAATAGTTGTTCCCAGTCATCTATTTAAAATATATGTGATATTTATACTATTTTCACTAAATCAACAAAAAAATAAATTCATACGATCAAAATTAAAATATTGGGAAAGAAATATTATGATGAAATACCGGATTAATAAGTGATGAAATGGGACAAAATATAGTTACATTACTGCGTAAAAAACGTAAGTTCAGATATGCCGTTCCTCATTCACATTAGTAAAATTATTCCTATTTAATCTTTCGCGAGACACAAGATGCTTAAGTATCATGTGAAATATACCGATTCTGACTGCGCGGAGGTAGGTACTTCTGGCCAAATAGTCGATGAAACTCGTTTAACTAGGACCATATCGCGCCATCCTGCTTAGTCAAGCGACTAATTGAAGAATGATCAATAATTAATGCTTAAATACGTTTGGAACTGTATAAAGTGACGCAGAATCCGTTTGGCACTGTGTTTCTTTATGATTCGTGAATTAGTGCGTGAAATATTAAATCGCTGTCTCCGTTGTCGTTGTCAATTATTGTTTATCAATTATTTAGCTATTTTATGAGATAGCTACCGGCATGAATCAACCTGCGTAAATGTCGGCGAGTGTTCTCAATTGTAGCAGTTCTGATGTAAGATGTAATAAAGCTGGAAAAAAAAATTCAACGGGAATTTAAAAAAAAAAAAAACGTATTTGACGTTGGCAACGCTATAACAAAGTATTAATGACAATTTTGCACAAGCCATCCTACACGCCTATCATTTCTGCTTGTTAAACAGTTCCAGTTAACTACTCCTTTATCAAAAGTACAATATCAAAAGAACATGTTTTTCTAATGAAATACGTGTTCCATTTCCTCGTTTGCAGTCTTGTCATAGCTTGTCATTGCTTGTTAAACGTGTCTACAATTACTCCTTTAGTTTGCACCGCCCGCCGCGTCGTTTGTCCCATTCCATGCAGAAAGAAAATGCAAGTGACTAGAAAAGTAGAATAATTGAGACAGGGCCGGATTAAGGGGGTGGCCACATTGGCCGCGGCCCATGGCGGCAAATCAAGGGGGCGGCAAATTTTGCAATTTTTTTAAATGTAGGTATAAAAAAAATCGGATTTAGAAAAAAAATTACAAAACAGAAAAGGCTGCAAAATCTCTCATTTCCTGAGAGTATAATAATTTCTAATTTTGTCGTCTTCCAGTGATACAAGAGCCAGCACAGACCTTTAATTTGTCGAGTTAAGAGAGAAACCAAACACACAGTTTGGCCTGGAACGGCGCGACTCAGGGAGAAATGATGGCGAGGACTTGAGATGAAAAGGAGAAGCCCTCGGCGCGGCAATCGGCATGTAACCCAGATTAGCGCCTACAAGACTGCACGAATACTTCACGCATTGCATCAAACACAGGGCGGTTATTGTGGTCAGTGTGAAACGGATAGCGCCTACAAGAATGCATGAATACCTCACGCCTTGCGCCGAACACAGTGCGGTCAGCGTAAAACGCATAGCGCCTACAAGACTGCGTGAATACTTCACGCATTGCGCCAAACACGGTGCGGTCGGCGCGACGGCGGAAGTTAAAATCATTAAACCAAATTTTTTGTTTGTTCTCTCATAATTTTTTCGTTCATTTCTTATGAATGAAAGGCCTTGTCCATTAGAGATAGGTTTACGAAACTTGACTTTCGCGCAAAGTTCCATGGCCTTTTGCTAGTAGTGTTGACAGGGCTTTCCCAAAAAATGTGTTCAACACGAGTAAACGCGTCTTATGCACCCTTCCCCCGCTGGCACATTCACTTGATGGTTTTTATTGATGTTTCAAAACGAATGAGAAGGGGGCGGCAAAATACAGGCTGCCCATGGGCGGCAAGTAGGAAAATTCGGCCCTGAATTGGGATGCATATTATGTACATCAATTATTTTTCTGGAAAATCTTCAACAGTATAGCTGAGTTTAATGGTGAGAGACCAAGTAATGATTTTAAGAAAAATGAGTTAGGAGTGATTTTCGGCTAATCAATGCATTTTATTCTTCTGAAAAAAACCAAACCCATGAGATTTGTAGGATTCCAATTATAAGGTAGACCTCATGTTCATTTTTTACGAGAAAATTTATTGAATAGAACTTGAAACCTCTTTTTTAAAATTTTAAAATGCGACTTGGTTTTTTTATTCACAGCAGTCTACTTCTTATCACATTGAATTTCTACATTAGGTACCTATTTCTTTACTGAGATTTAATCATAATTGCTGAGATTTAATTACCTATATATAGTTGATGCGATATCACTATTTCCTCTCTTTTTTTCCACGACACTTCCTGAAAATAAATGTATTCTACTACTAGTGCCGCACTCTCTTTCGTCTACCACAGAGACATTTTAGGAAATTCTGGGACTAGTGGAGAGTGCAATCACTGAAAATGAGATATCCAGTTGGATATGGTACAGAACATCAAAACGAATTGCAAGATAATACCTTAATTTTAAAGAAAAAGTGTCAATATTTCCTGTTTTAGTTAATGCTCCCTTTAAGGAATGTTAAATTATGACG